GAGAATAAACTGATAGTTGCCAAAGGGGAAGAAGTGAAGAAATAAGTGGAAAAGGGGAAGAGGATTAAGAGGCACAAACCTTCCAGTTATAGAAAAGATCATAAGGATATTATGTACAACAGAGAGAATATAGTCAACAATATTGCAATCACTATAAGGTGACAGATGGTTACTAGACTTCTTATAGTGATTACACAGTAAGTTATATAAATGTGGAATCACTGTGTTGTATACCTGAAATTAATATAATATTATACATGAACTATAATTACAAATAAGTTTTAAAAAAGAATTTTAGTGTCAGTTTCTATTTTGCTATCTTCCTCTCTAACAAATGTTTCGATTTTTCTCTTTACGGTGCTTTGAAAAAAACAAAATCGACAACCTAAAACATTTCTCTTACTCAGCCAAGAGCTACTTCAAGTTTCAGTTCCTACAATCTGCTAATAAATTGAAAGGGAAAGAGATGAAAAAAGTAGATGTTAGAACTGAGCAACTGAGAAAAAGAAAAGCCTGTGTTGATTCCACAGAGTTTAGACCTGTCAGTGAAATGTACAAGAGAGTGTATAGACTGGTATCCCTCTTTTGCCACTGCTATGCCACTTCTCTTAAAAAAGAAATTTTCCCTGGCCCAGTGGCTTGGTTGGTTGGAGCGTTGTCCCACACATCAAAACTCTAGGGGCTCAATTCCCAGTCAAGGCATATACCAGGGTTGCAGATTTCGATGCCAGGTGAGGGCACAGGTGAGAGGCAATGGATCGACCAATGTTTCTCTCTCACACTGATGTTCCTCCCTCTCTCCCCACTATCTCTCCCTTCCTCTCTCTACAATATCATCAAACATATCCTTAGGTGAGGATTTAAATAAGGGAAAAAAGAAATTTCAAAAATAAAACAGTAATTATAAAAATGTCTGTTCTAATAGCTATTTTAACTTAGAAAATATGTACAAGTTCTTGATTCAGTAGAAACAATGGATCCAGAAAAGTAAAAGAATTACTAAAAATATGTGTTTAGGGATGCTTGACATGGAATCTTAGGGACACCTATTGGAAGTAGGGAAAAAGCTTTAGAAAAGATTAGTAATAGTGTACAAAATTAAAGGACATTTCCAGGCATACACAGAGTTAAAGGAACTTAAGGCATATAGCAGTTTTACTTTCTTTTATGCTGACTTTGCAAATGGAGTTTTAATTTCTCCAATAGTGCATTCTCCAGTAACAAAAGTCTGTGTGAAGAAAAAACAAAATGAAACAGGACGTATAAGCTGAAAAATGAAAATTTATATAAAATTAAGATTTTAGCAAAAGACAGAAACTCAGTAGCTATAGTTTAGAACATATACAATTTATTAGTCACAGTTCATCAAAATGTTTTATTACCACTAATAGTGATTTTCTTAACTTCCTACTTAAATGTACACATTTTAAAATGTACAATCAAGAAAAAGATATGCTTACAAATGAAATAATCACAAAAAGAAGTATAGCAACCCCAATGTAACGGATATCGAAATAAAGAAGGACCCAACCTTGTGGAAGGCTATTTTTACACATTTTCCAGCTCCCAAAATACCTTGTTCACTTTACCTGGATGCTAATAGTTCCTACAGAAGAAAAACCTTAAAGCAGTGTTTTCCTGGCTGTGGTTTTGGGCTGTCCTAACACTAAATCACCAAGATGCTTTTTACAAATGCAGATTTCAGTACATCATCTCCAGAAATTCTAAGTCAATGGGGTCTAATGAGTCCAGATATCTGGAATTGTAATATGCAACTTAAAAAATGGCCTTAGAGACAGAAATCTCTCTCTCTTCTTCAGATGATGCCATTTCAACCTAAGGAGACTAACTTAATTACCTGAGCCAGTTAATAGCAGAGCAAGATGGAAAACCCAGAACTGCTACCACCCAGTCCAATCTTCTTTGTTCTGAATGTGCTCCCAAGTTTCTTTTATTGTATCTCCTCAACATAAGCTGCAACACCTGCCCTTACACCTCTCTCTGCTGTCTGTTTACTCTCTCAGTCACCTCCAAAGTAAATTAGTAAAGCTATGTACAAATAGAGGGAAGAAAATTAACAATGGTTCATATGTTAGGGTGATGTAGGTCACCTTTCTTTATTATTCTAGTTACATTATAAATTATATGAACAATAAATTCACTGATTTAAAATTTTTTAAAATTAAAATAATTAAGCTTGGATGCAAAGAACTGAATTAGAGCCAATACAAATTAAGATACAGAGGTTTAAATCTAACACCTCTTACATTTTTATGATGAGATTTTGTCCATCATCCTTTAGATAGTGCGTGTATAAAACTTAGAGGTTGAATAAACTATTTTGTTATCTTTTAGCGCTTTTCCTAAACACTAGCTTAAAGCCCTCTGCATTCAGGAGAAAGGCTCCTTATTTAGCATGTCACCCAAATTCTTCACACGATCTGCTAAACCATATGAGCAAACCAATGGGCAACTTACCTCTGGAAGAATGTGCACTGGGATGTAAAAATAAATAAAATTGGAATGATATGTCAGGGCCTAAACATAGAGGGCCTCCCTTAATTTATCCATCCAGTCTTCAGCCAGCTAGTTCTTTAGACCAAGTCCCTTAAGACCTGGCTCCACACAATATCATTAATATGATGCAATTTTTTAAAAGAACACATATATGAACAATAGCATGCACTTTTGAAGTGTGTGTGTATATATATAATATATAGATGCATGTTAATACACTAAAAAGGACTTGAAATATGCATACATCAAAAAATAGGTTTACTTCTCAAAAGCTGAGGAGGGGCCCATTTTAATGCTCTAATTTTAAGGTGAGTGTATTTACTATGTGTACATAGAAGTGCTCCAATTTCAGACATCATTAGGTGCCCATGTTTTACACTTCTCTGTAACTCCTACACAAGTCTAACAGAGTACTGAGCTCACCATCTACCAGAAACACTGGTCTTTTCTGACTTCTCCTCCTGGAAAATTTGGGTCCTCCAGTAAGTGCATCATTTTTAGTGTCGGACAAGGTATAGTGTTTATTGAATGAACACTGTGAACCTTCTAGGCAACTAAATTATTCAAGGAAAGGATCTTAGTCTATTTCTAAAAGGTCACAGGCCACATATTTCCTTTTCAAAATACACTTACAAAAGACAGTCTGGTATAGCAGCTAAGAAGCTTGGCTTAGAGTTACGAAGTTCTGGTTTTAAATTAAATTCTGCATAATGAACTGTAATCCTTAAACAAGTTACTTAATTCTCATCTATAAAACATGAATAAGAATATCTTCCCCTACATTTGTGGGGAAGACTAAAGTGAATGTCTATAAATTAATTAGCACAGTAGCTGGTACTCAACAAACGGTAGTCAAGCCCAGCCAGGTAGCGCAGTTGGTTAGAGTGCTGTCCTGATATGCCAAGGTTGTAGGTGGAACAATAAAATTGATGTTTCTCTCACTCTCTCTCTTTCCTCCCCTCCTCTCTAAAATCAATAAATAAAAACTTTTTAAAAACAAATGATAGTCATTGTTGTCCATTTTATGCTCAATTACTAATGTTAAGCAAAAATTTCATAACTTCCTACTAATCAGAAAATATTAATAAAACCTTAAAAACACTCTACTTTTAGAGAATAACAAACTCAAATAATCTAACTTATTAATCTAATATAACTGATTATACTAATAATTTGAAGCTCATCAGGTCTGTGCAAGTAAAAGATGAATACCTCAATTAATTTGTGGTATCCATTTGTCAGAGTCACTTCCATACTGATACACACAAATTAAGCATTTTTAATCTCCATTCCAAGAAAAGTTTTAATCATCTTACCTCACAAACTAAAAATGTTCATATGGAGTTCATACACATTAGGAAGCTATACATCTCTATTTTTGAAGAATATGCTAACAATCCAAGTTATTAATATGCCAACAGGGCTCAATTGAGGCTGTCCCCAGTTAACTGGCTAAGAAATCTTACCCAAAAAAAAGGTAATGAATAAGTTTACACTGAAGTTCAGAGATGCCTTGTATAAAGATCTATCAATTTTTTTGAAACTACTGTTGTTTGTTTTGAGTTGATATCTCTAGTTTTGTTATAAAAATAACATCATATTTCACCATATCATAACCCATTATAATGTATAAAATGAGTTCATTTTAGATCGGCTATCCAAAGCACGCCATTTAATTCCACAAATAATTTCTAAGCATTTAATATATTCTAAACTGAAAAGTTATATAAGAATTAATCTCCAAAAGGGGGTAACAAAAGAATTTTCTTATACATCTTAAGATCAGGATATGTTACAGAAAGAGATGTCTATGCAATCAAAGTTAACAAAATTTGTTAAAATTTTAATTTCTCCTCAAAATATTTACATTTTCTATTGAGTTCTCCTATATTAACTAAATTCAACAAGTCAACAAGTTAAGCCTATTTTATATATATGTGATATGTGTATATGTGCATGTGTGTGAATATGTGTATATCAATCACTTGCCTCTAGTAAATTATTCTGCTACTAGTAAATAACATGTTTAAAAAAAAGCTAAAATGCTGTAAACTCAAGAAAAATATGTGCTTACTCTGTAATTTTCTGTCACAAAGTCACAAAAAATAAAAAGAAAGAAACACAACAGGCGCAGAATTGGGCCTATTTAATCAACAGCTGTGATACTGAATTTGTTCTTAATTATTCTCTCATGTAGCTTTATAATGTTACTTAAGCTAAGGAACACATTTCAAAAATTATTTTCAATGATTCAACTTCCTCAGCCCCTTAAAAAGGTGATGTCTACCCTCAAATCTGATATAGATTACTTTCTTGCTACTGAATAACTGAGAAAATTCAACAAAACAACTCCCTTTGTTCTATTCAGTGTAGTACTCAAGGCAAAATCAAGACTACAAGTAAAAACATTAATGAGTCTAACAAAGCACAGTTGCTAAAGTAATCAAGGAACTACAATTTGCAATTGCTGTAACACAGCTTACCTGTTCGTTTTTGCAAAGCCACACATTGCTTCCACTTAACACAGTAAAAATTTTGGCTTTATACCCTCTCAGTTCAAGATATCCACATTTATCAGGTGCAGCAACTGCTGGAGACTGCGAGGGAGACTGCAATTTCAGTGCATTTAATAGTATGCTCATCCAGTCATTTCTCTCCTCTGAAAATAAAGAAGGGGAAAATACATCTATCCTTACTTAGATAAATTACATGCACAAATAAACATGGACAAGGGCTCTACTCTCTCCACAACAGACAATTCAAAGATCCTTTCCCACACCCACACTCTCACTACTACTGCAGGCAGGCCCAAGAGCCCAATTCCGTAAGGAAAAGGGAATCACACACACTGCCCTGTTGTCCTGTAAATAACACTGGCCCCACCTAGGAGCTTGTTAGATATGCAAAATCTCAGACCCCACTCCAAATATGATGAGTCAGAATCACTCTTTTTAAAAAAAGACCCATGGGGGAGCTGTTTCCATGTTCATGTTTCAAAGCACTCTTTAGAATTATTCATGAGATTGGATTTTTCTCTTTTAATAGAAGAAAGTAACAATGTGACCAGTTAAAATATTGTACTTGGCAATTAAGTTACTCAAATGCCCAGAAAAATCTTCCTTTCTGTCACTTAGAATATACTCAGTTTAACAGTATGTTGCCTTGATATTCATTTATCCATTCCATTCTCCACACAGTCATTAACAATAGCATCTCATTTGGTGAATTAAAATTTGGGCCTCTCACTTCTCCACAAAAACTAAGTGACCTTCATATGTAAACACTGTTATGGGCACAAGAATTGGATCTCATCCTCAAAGAGCAATCAAAGCTATAAGCCAAGTCAGATATGAACACAAAATGGAACACAGAATGCAAAAGTGTTATACAAATGGTATAAAATAATAAAGTCAATTGAATGAAGGTAAGTGATTTGCTGAAGGGTATGAAGTAAGTTAGTATTGAAATTAAGAGAATCAAATGTTTTAACTCTCAGACAATTGGTGCTGGCATTATGAAAAGAAGAGGTATTTGCGACAAGACTAGAGAATGAAAAGCAATCAAAAAGGCAAAACTGAGGTTTGAAAAGCCCAGGAAACATAGCAGCTCTACCTAATACATAGAAGCAAACACAGAAACAAACAGGGAGGCTGCCAAAATGAGGCAACAAAGAAACATGTCCCACATGAAAGAACAGAACAAAACTCAAAAAAAAGAACCAAGCAGAATGGAGACTAGCAACCTATAACCAGTGTTCAAAACACTGGTTATAAGGATGCTCAACTAACTTAAGGAGAACTTCAACAGCATAAAAAAGGACATGGAAACCACAAAAAAGAACCAGTCATAAATGAAGTATACATTAACTCAAGTGAATAATAATTTATAGCAAATCAATACCAGAGTAAATGAAGCTGAGAATCAAATCAGCAATTTGGAATATAAGGAAGCAAAAAACATCAGATGAGAACAGCAGAGAAAAAAAATCCAAAAATTGAGACAGTGTAAGGAGCCTCTAGGAGAACTTCAATTGTACCAACATTCACATCATGAAAGTGCTGGAAGGAGAAGAGAGAGAGCAAGAACTTGAAAATCTATTTGAAAAACTATTGACAGAAAACTTCCCGAACATGAAGAAGAAATAGACATAAAAGTCCAGGAAGCTCACAGTCCCAAACAAAATGAGCCCAAAGAGGCCCACACCAACACACATCATAATTAAAATTCAAAAGGTTAAAGGCAAGAAGAGAATCTTAAAAGCAGCAAGAAAAAAACAGTTCATTACCTACAAGGGAGCTTCCATAAGACTGACAGCTGATTTCTCAACAGAAACTTTGCAGGCTAGCAGGTACTGGCAAGAAATACTCAGAGTGATACAAAGAAAGGACCTACAACCAAGATTACTCTACCCAGCAAAGCGATCATTTAGAATTAAAAGATATATAAAGAGGTTCCCAGAGAAGAAAAAGCTAAGAGAGTTCATCACCACCAAACCAATATTACATGAAAAGTTAAAAGATAAAAACATGAACAATAAAATGGCAATAAATATGTATCTATCAACAATTAAATCTGAAAAACAAAATAAACTAACAGAAACAGACTCACAAATGGAGAGGATATTTTGATGGTGGCCAGACGGGTGGGGGCTGGAGAGGATGGGTGAAAAAGGTGAAGGGATTAATTAGTACAAATTGGCTGTTACAGAACAGTCATGGGGATGTAAAGTACAGTACAGGAAATATAGTCAATAATATTCTAATAACTATGTATGATGTCAGATGGGTACAAAATTTATCAGGATCATCACTTAGTAAGTTGTATGATGTCTAATTACTGGGGTATACACCAGAAACAGTATAATAATGTATGTCAACTGTAATTGAAAAATTTTAAAAATTATTAAAAAGAACTGGTGTTTGGGAAAGGAGAGGGAAAAGCAGAACTTTATAACTCTAAGCAGGCAGAGGATAACACAAGAACAAAGACAGAAAAAAACAGCATCTGTTTAAGGACTAACTGATGGATGAACATAGTTATAATTTTAAATTCACAAGGAAATAATAGGAAATGGGACTAGAGATTCTCCAGTACCTGTGTAAGGAATTTTGTCTTTATTACAGATGCAAAGGTAAACCATTTCAGGATTCTTAGCATGGAAGGGACATGATTAGGATGTTAATAGGTAGACAAAAAAGGAAGCTTGGAGATTCAGGAATAAGGTGAGAGAGACTTAACAGTACAATGAAAATGGTAACAAAAGAACAGACAAAAAGTCACGATATTAAGAGGTGTTAAAAGTAGCTGAGGCTCTGAGTATCTATGACAGGTGTTCACAAAAAAATTATATTACTCAGAAAAAGTTATCTTGGTGTCATATATTGATTCGACAAAGAAGGCAGAAAGTTCCATTTTATTAAAAGAACTACCTCAGGTTCTCAGTATCCTAGCATGAGCATCTAGGAAGGCTGACAGCAACATGTAAACAAATGTTAACTTATACAAGAAAAGGAAGATCCATAGAAGTGGATAAGTGTTTAATGTAAATAAAGAAACAGATAAACCTTGAATTACAACTTATCTATGAGGCTGGAAAATGGGTCACCAAAAAAATAAATAAATAAAAAAGATGGAGCAGTGGCTATCAATGAAAAAAGGAAAAAACAAACAGTGAATTCCAGGTAGGAAAAATTTTGAAGAAGGCAAAAGATATTCTTTCACAAAGCCTGGGAAATCAAACAGTAATTCAAATCCTTTTAAGAGGGGTCTGCCCAGAATAACTTCATTGTAAATGGAAATAAGTTTCCATATCAGACTTATATGCTCACATTAAAACATGAATCCAAAGTTATGTCTTAATATAAGTCTTAGCTTTAAAATCTCTTCATATTTGCTCACCTTCAAAACTACTAAAATCAGTTATTTCATAATATGTTTTAATTTTAAAATTATCTTCATGCTTGCTCATCTTAAAAACTACTATAAATAGTTGTATCTTTAATGATCATAGTCAAAGTATTTATTAAAAACTCACTCAACAATGTCTATTGCAAGTATTACATAATCCCCAGATACTAATGCTTGTCCCTACATATCAGGACAAAATATTTACTGAACTTCCCCAGCATCATTTTATAAACTCAAAGACATAAAAATTCAAGTTACTAAGTCCATGTCAACATGCAGCAGTTTCTCTGTATTTTACATCTACATAAACAGACCCAGACTGCATTATGATAATTTATTACATTTTCAGTGACAACAACAGACCTTCCACTTAACTTAGTTATTACTTGTGATCATTAGTTTCACACATGATTTTCCTGCCAAGTAAGTATGGAATGTTTTCTGTTCGCTTGTTTGTTTGTTTGTTTGTGTTAATCCACATAAATCAGAGTTTACAATGTTGGCTATAATTTTATGCTGGCTATAATTTTATGTACTTTTAAAGTGCTTGCGCCTTCTAGATTACTATTAGCATAGATCTCAGTGTCTGGAAATAATCTGAAACAGGCAATTGCATCTGTTGGACCTAAGCATATTGAAGCTGCATCTCAGCAAATGGTTTCCTTATAGCCTAAAAGAATTATTTAGTTCCTAAGAGCCTCATCAACTAATAGGAAGTAAACACTCATGAAGACGACTGAGAATTAATGTTAACATTCATCTTATTCTTAATAACCTATGCCAATGGAGATAAACAATGATACAGAGAATTCAAACAATAAAATAGATTACAAGCTGCATTTGGTACTTGGCAATACAATGCGTGCATCCTTAGACAAGGGAAATATGCTTTGATACGTCACAACATTCCAAAACAAATAATAATTTTTTCCTCAAAGTGTCTTGGGCAAAGGTAGATGCTATGCTAGCTTTTGCTGGCTCTTCACGCCAAGGTACTTTTATTCTTTCCAATAACAAATAATTATTGAGTGTCTACACACCATTCCTCCTGAGAACATGTTCTGACCTAGATATGGTTTTGCTTAAAGTAGAACATTTTAGGTTTTGGAGAAAGAAAACAAAAGGGAGCAAGAAACAAAAATGCCACTTTCTTGTAATTATGCTAGAATGTAAATAAAAGATAACAGCAACCCCCTCAAGCCCCAAATTAGTTCTTTGGGGTGTTCAGCAATGCCAACGATGGTATAAGACTCAAAAAAGGAAATTTTTAAAAAAATCAACAGGACAGCCTTAATATTCTCTGACCTACTGGATTTAGTAGTAGGCATAAATACTAGTATCGAAGGATTGATTACACTAGGTATTACTAGGCAAGGGCTGTGTGACAAATTAATAACAGAATCTAACCAAGTTAGATGGACCCTTACTTTTGATGTGCTATAATCTGATATGATAATACAATATTAAAAATCCCACTATGTAATCCATGATCGATTTTAGAGAAGGAAGTGTTGCACACCAGCGTTGTTCTTGAAATCAGTAACCATTCATCCATACAAATATTTACTGAATGCCTACTATATTCCAAGATCTGTTCTAAATATGAGAACTCAAGAGTGAACAGGATGGATCCACCCTTACTCTCCTGAGCTTACATTACATTCTTGTGAAAAGAGGCAGGCAATAAAATGCAGAAAAGTATACAGCACAGTGACAAGTACAATAGGATAAAATAAAGAACAAGATGAGGGACACAGTAAGTGTTACTTTATATAGGGTAACAGAAAAAAGCCTAGGAAGGTGATGGTTGAGCAAAACCCTGAAAGGGGGGAGTAACAGAGCAAGTCAGGAGGGCTGCTGGAGGAAGAATACTCCAGGATTAAAAAAAAAAAAAAAGGCAGCAAGTGTTAAGGCTCCAAGGCAATAGCAGGTTTGGCAAGTTCACAAAACAAGAGGCCCCTGCAGTTGAAATGCAGTGAGTGAGGGAGAGCACAGACGCGACAGGGACAGAGAAACCAGGGCCGGACCATGCAGGGACTTCTGGACATCCTCAGTGCTTCCCTCTCGGTGAGACAGAAAGACAGTGGAGCACCTGAAGCGGCCTGGCATGACCTGACTTTCTTGTTGCATGACCACTCTGACAGCTGCAGTGAAAATACGACTCTAGCCCATCCAGGGAGGTATTACAATAATCCAGACAGATGTGGTGGCTTATAGTAGAGTGGCAATGCTGGAGGTGCTGAGAATGGTCTGAATACGGACGTATTTCCAAAGTGAATGGTTAAGATTCGCTGAGGGACTGGATGTGATGTATGCGAGAGAAAAAGAGAGAGGCAACTCAACAGCTTGTGGCCTCTTATACTAAGAGAGGTCTCTCAAAAGACAGAGCAGAGAACTTTTAATGCCCCTGGCTCTCCCTCCAGGTAGTAACTGTCCCATGCCTTGCTTCTAAAACACTGACAATTTAAAAACATGTAAGTTTGCTTGCCCAAAACAACTAGGGGGAATTTATGTTTTTTATCCCAAGTGTTCTTTAAAAAGAAAAAGAAAAGCTTTCCAGTATCACAGCTGCCACTGGAGGGTTGGACGATATTTTCAAGAAACATGGCTCAACGTGCCTGTGTCCCAGGAGTCTAGAATTTGCTATGGTGGATAGGAACATGGGACCTGCCACTGAGAGCCGGTGCCAAAAATGGCCTTGGAATGGGAACGACCACTCAGAATTCTCAAGCCCTCTTTTAACTATGAGAACTGCCCACTCAAACATCACCTGCTTTTCAAAGTATCACATCTGTATGTGTGACCACAGGTGGCAAGGGAACACAGACTAAATGAAGAGAGCATTACTGTTATAACCAGTCCTAATCGCTCTGCTTGAGGACAAAGGGAATCAGACTAAATTTTATATATGAGGAAGAGCATTTTTAAAACGTTATTTCAATATAATTCACTTTAAACTAAGAGAATGACAATATTGCACTAGGAAACCTAGGAGGACTGAAGCCTTTGTAAATGTGTGGGGTAAAGATGCCAGAGTGTAATCCTGTCTTAGCAGAAGGCTACGTAGCAGTTTGGAAATAGTGATACTGGTTTCAGGAGAGAAAAAGGGTAGCTATCATATGCAGGTCATTCAGAACCTGTCTGCCAAAAATGAAGACATCATCTCTGTTAGAATATGAAAGCATTTCCCTTTCTGTTCTATACTTTGGTCTTGTATGAGGAATAGGTTGAAGCAAAGTTTAATTTGGCTTGAAGTTCATTAAGTCAAATATTTCATATGATTGATTTCTCAAGTCCCCACAAAATAAAAAATAATCAGATATATACACAGAAGGAAAAAACTCTTAATAAAATATATTTTGCATCTTGTTGAAAGTTCCATACTAAATATATGGACACACATATACCATCTACATATATGTATACATATACATACACATCTCTACATCCATGTATCTTTAAAAATGTGAGTTGTGCCCTGGCTGGTGTGGCTCAATGGATTGCATGCTGGCCTGTGAACCCAAGGGTCACTGGTTCGATTCCCAGTCAGGACACGTACCTGGGTTGGCCAGCTCCCCAGTAGGGGGCGTGCGAGAGGCAACCACACATTTATGTTTCTCTCCCTCTCTTTTCTCTCTTTTCCCCCTCCTTAAAAATAAATAAAATATTTTTAAAATTAAAAAAATTAAAATGTGAGTAGTTAGTATGTAAAAATGGTTTTCAATGAAAATAACATATTCAGTAATCCCATGTGAACAGTCTCCCTTTTCACCACAGCAGTATTTTCATGCATTCAAAACCTAAAGATTTAAGACTTATTTAATAAATGACAGCCAAGTTAACGAAATTCTCATACTAAGTTGACATCACAGAGATGAACTACTTATCACAGAAGGATTTAATGGTCAATTATAAACATGGGGCTTTTAAACAATGTGTGGGTGGATCCACTCTACTTAAATAAAATGTGCATCTAACTTTTAACTGCAGCAAGTAAATAGGGCTAAGCAGATTTTCACAGAATTTGGAAACTTTACATAGTATGTCCATCTTAAAATGCAGGCCACGTGGCTCATGTGAAGTTCACAGTGAGAGGCCCAGGGCAAGGTGAGAAGCACCTCAAAGGAACAGGCAGCACCTCTGGGGGAGTGGCCACCAGAGCAGAAGGGACCGTCACCAGGACAGCCAGTCAAGGGGAGCAATGCCATGTGTTTCAAGAACTAGCCTAAGAGAAAACTGATTTTGAAGACAAGTTCCACATCAAGTATGCACATCTTTCTGACTTTTAGGTGGGGAATCACAAAAAGTAGCTTCTCACACAGGCAAGTCTACATGAGATGCTCTACATGAGGGGCTGGAAACTTTCCTTCTGTAAAGGGCCAGACAGCATTTATCTTAGGGCTTCCTAACCGTGCAGTCTGTGCCGCAACTACTCAACACTGTCATGGAGACAGAAAACAGCCATAAAATGAGATATCAGTGAAAAAGGGTGGTTGTAACTTAGTAAGATTTCACTTACAAAAACCAGCAGAGAGCCAGATTTGGGCTGCAGGACATCTTGTGTCAAGCCCTGCTCTAGGCTAATGCTCGCCACATATGTGGATAGCAAATGAGAAACACTTCTCACGTTCCACGTGTGCAACATGTGCATCAGGGAGTCTCACGATACAATACTTACTAGAAATGATGTACTTCTTATTCTTATTTCTTATTCTTGTTTATGTTTGTGGTTTTGTTTGGAGGGACTCTTTTTTCTTTTGATGCTGTCAGAAACCACTAAGTTGATTCCACAAGTGGGGTAGTAATTCAGTTTGACAAAGGCTACCCCAGGGTCAAAAGCAGCTGGGACGTACTCACTCACTCATCGTCCCAAGCAATATAGGAAGCTTTCAGGAACAGACAATGTTTACTGATGTTTTCTATGGGCCATGCCCATGCATATGTTCTAGGAACGTGGCAGTTTAAAAAAGATAAACATTGTCCCATAACACTTAATATTGTTGTAGTTTATAAAGGTGAATGCTCATATGTGTAAAATGGAATAATAACTGTATTACCTACAAACCTTGTAAAACTATTGTGAAAATGAAGCATTCAGATTATCTGGCTCACAGCAAGTAATTCAGTAAGTTTTCCGTATCACCATTACTCAAATAATTAGGTACTAGGAAGTAAAAGTACTTTCAAAAATCATGTTGTTATAATCTATACTAAAACTGAGCTTTAAAATAACTTAAAATCCTATTTAATTAATGAAGACAATCTTACCTATATTATTTAAAAATAGTACATTTTATCCTAACTACACTATTGGCAGTCAATCAAAATACACCATAGAAAACTTTTAACTGCCCTGGTCTCCCTCCCTCTCCCCACCCTAAAAGACTGAGAAACTTTAAAAGTTTACACTGCATCCTCAAACCATCTTTAGATCAATTTTCACCATCAAGTGACCTTTAGCAGATGTTGCAGGTGAAAAAATTCAAGAAAAAGAAAAGATGCTCCAAAATCTATGTGAGAATGATTACTGCATCTGTGTGTTCAGTTACAACCTGCCCCAGAAACTCCCATAAAACCAGCCTTTTCATAGTTAGGAAGACCAATTTTGCATACCAAGTAACTGTTTTGCATCATCAAAACAACAGCTAAAAGGTGAGCTCCGTAAGAGCAGAGATGTTTGTCTGTGTTTTCCACTGATGTGTGGCCAGAATTTAGAAGAGTCCTTGACACTTAGCAGATTCTCTCTAACTATTAGTTGCAAGCAAGAATATTCAACAATGACTTGTCCACTTGTTTATGGCAGTCAAAACACTAATATATAATGTACATTATCTAAAAGTGACAGATTTAAAGATTTCTTGACATTTCTAGCTTAACAGGTTTATTAATCTTCTGAACGGTCAGAAATACATGAATGTCTGCAAGTGTTTTTATAGGAACAAAGAAATAACCTTACCTTCTTTTTCCACTCTAAAAACAAAAGTTCTTTGTGTTGTAACAACCTCAAATTTGTTGTCTCCTTGAACTCGTACTGTGGATATAGCAGAAAGGGGGATCATTCCTTTTGAATACTTCTCCTGTATTGGTTAGAGAAAAAGATACACAAAAGAAAACACATTAAAATGAAATTCTCTTGATCTTATTGGGAAAAAAAGGCTTAACATTTACAAGTGCTTCTCTTTCATGATTTCAATTTAATTTTTTTAAACAACTTACATACAGTATATACATATAAGCTCACACACACTTAATACCCTCAGAAAAGAAAATATAAATGCTCCTTTCAAGTAAAATGTCAATATTCTCTTCATCTGGAATTAAAAGGCAAAAAATCAAATACAAACAATCATACTAAACCAGCCAAAAAAAAAAACAGCAGCATGTTCTTTAAAACAATCTGGTCAAAATGATTTTATGGTGTTTGCAGGCATCTGCTGGTCATAGCAGGTACTGTAAGTGATCCACTTCAAAATAACTGCTCTTACACCTTATGCACAACAAGAATATATCTAAGAAACCAGACTATTGAATTGTATCAATTATCCGTGTTACTCAATGCTCTGATGATGATGATGATCTTAATCTCACAACAGCATCACTCTACTTTTTATTCCTCAGTGAAAAAAGATGGACATGGCTGTTTGCAAAGAATATATGCAGATCATAATTTTGCTCAGAGGAAGGTCATTTTTAAGATTCTTGGTAACTTCCTTCATTTTCCTGGACCCTCCTAAACCATTTGGCATATTGACTACCCCAGAAGTTCAGCTATTTGCTAAGGGTATAGTGTTGACTGGGCCCTATGCTGGAAAGAAAATTCAGGGAAAAGAATGTCCTAAACCTTTCCAGGCAAAGAACAAGTGCCAAGTTCATATTCTTCCCGTCAGAAAACTGCCATACATAGCAGATATGTAAGGGACAGTCAGGTAAGGGCCAGTCACTGTCAGCAACGTGGCATTCCACCGGGACGTTTATCCCCTGCTAGTGGACAAGATACACTATACTATCATGGAATTTCCTTAGTTCTTTGAAGTTTCTTCTCTTCCACAGCCTCTGCTCCAACCTCTGATCTCTTTGTGCATCCATCAAAATCCTACCCATTCCTTTAATAGTATCTGAAATACCAATGCTACAAAGCCTTTCCTATGTTCTCTCAGGCAGCCAACACTAAAATGATGTTAGAGCTGTGATTTAGGAAGATGAGTGGGCAACCCCACAGAAAAAGGAGAAGGATGTCGAGAAATGACTAATTACAAAGCATCTTATTCTTCTCGTTCTTTTCCGTTGTTTTCATCTTCCCTCCCTATGGAAAAAAATTCCTTGCTTGCTATTTCAACTACTAATTTTATGCAGAGAATTCTAAAACCCCTCCTCCCTCCCTCCCTTATCCATTTCAGTCAACCCCAGCCACATACTTGAAGCCATCAACTGTGCACATAACTGTCCCATCAGCACCTCAACTTTAAAACTCATCTCCTGAAAACATGCTTTTCCTCTATATCTGCCCATTAAAACTTTAGTCTTCTAGTCAAATAAGTCTTAAATATAACAGTCTTTGCCCTTTGCTGACCTTTTGCACCCACGTAACCTAGGTCTCTCCCCTTGGCTAGTGTCAACTTGTTCTTTGCCACTGCCTGACTCTCTCCAGTCACATAAACCTTCTTGAAGTCCCCTAGACATGTCGTGTCTCTGCTCAAACTAGGGTCTTTGCAAACTATTTGTCCTGCAAGCAATGATTTTAAAAAATATTTTCTAAATTAAATGCATTGGGGTAACATTGGTTAATAAAATTATATAGGTTTCAAGTATATAATTATATGATATGTCATCTGTATATTTCATTGTGTACCAAAGAAAAATCATCTTCTGTCACCATATATTGTACCTCCTTTATCCTTTATGTTCACCCCACCCCACCCCTGTTCCTTCTAGTAACCACCATCCTGTTGCATGTCTATGAGTTTTTGTCTTGTTTATTCATTTGTTACTTTCAGTTTTATATCCCACATAAGTAAAATCATATGGTTCTTAACTTTTCTGACTTATTTTGTAAAGAATGTTTTTTATACCTAACTTCACATAGTTAAAGATGCCTCTGCAGCTTTCACATTCCAGCGTACTATATGCTCCTGAAGAAAGCCTCTCTGACTAGCTGCTTCTCTCAGTCCTTCATTCCTACCCAGGCAGATGAACCTAACTTAAGCTACTAGCAACCTGTACTTCTCCTTTATAACAATCACTAAATATAATTTAAATGAAGATTTTTGTATTTACTGTGTGATCATTTGATGAATACTGTCTCTCCACACACATTTTGGGGTCACGTGTCTATTTTCCTAACCATCTTTCACAAAATCAGTATTGCATAACTATTTTCTAAATAAATGAATTCCATGTCCAATCAAGTACAATTACACCAAACTCCGACAGCTCATTTTTAATATTTTCCCAAAGTTCTTCTCGGAACACTGGCACTGGCCTATGTGGCCGACACCTGGCGAGTGAATGCCTGAGTTACTGCACGCGCTCCTGATCAGCCTCCCGACTTTCAACTTATTTTCCCTCTAACGTTTCTCGCATCTTGTTGTTCATATGTCATAGCTGGAGAAAATAAAAGATTCTCAAGGGAGAATAAAAAGATGGGTCTTGAAGTTTGTATAGGATTTTGATGGATGGTGATGGCAAGGAAAGTTAAGAGGAACGAGAGAAAAACGTGGAGATGAAAACAAAGGAAAAGCCATGCTCCAGTTTCCCACAGTGTGTACAGACAATTGAAAAAGGTCACTGCAAAGAAACAAACGAAATGACTGGCTTGACAAAGGAAGCCCGATAAATGCAGGTGGATTACAGTGGCACCACTAGATCACGACGGGCTCTAGGAACGAGAGGAGGGTGAGAATGTCTCCTCACCACAGGGCAGCCGGAGGCTGGGGGGGGGGGCGCAGCACCCCTGGGGACGGTGCAAGGGCCCCTCTGGCTGAAGGTGGCTGAGACTAAACAGTCAAAAATCTAGAATGTCGCCAAAAACATTTATACTTTATCCCTGAGGGAAGCCATTTGCAAATTTTAGTTTGCCTAAGAATTAAAAGAGCTTATAAAATTATATTTCCAGTGAGATAATCAGCTGTTTGTTGAATAAAATGTTACCACTGACCATTTTTTTCAGTAGAAAAAACTCAAGTAGCATTGTAGAAAAAGAAATGGGAATGTAAAAAGATATTTTTTCCTCCTTCTAGATCTCTTTAAAGAGATTAAAAAACAAGTCTTTGAAAAATAACAACTCACCTACCCACCTATAATAGTAAAATTAAACAAATACTTATAGAATAATAATAGAAAAATAATTCTCCAGAAATGATCAAAATGTACTGAACAAGCTAAATACTGTGTCACTTTAACCTCAGGAAGTGGTAGTTTCTCTAATGGCTCATTTATCATCTATCATGAGATAATTAGAAGATAAATCTCATAATTTCTAACACTGTAGAGTTGATTTTACATGTCTCTTCTAACAACACGCATGATAAAGACAATATGGGGGGAAAAAATCTCAATGCCAATAAGCTCAAAATGACTATCTTTTTCAGACTGTAAAATTTTCTTTAAGAAAAGAAGTTTTAAAGCATCCCTTGAGCCTGTAACACACAGATATCTAGGTCAAGTTTGTCATTTATCTACCACTTTCAGACAATGAAACGACCACAGGGCAATTCTGCCCACAGCTGAGTAAAATGGGGGGTGAGCTAGATTTCTTGGCAGGTGATAAGATATCAAGGCTATTGGGACGTTGCCATTTTCAGTAATACAATGAAAAGTCCTTGCAGAGACATGATTGAACAGCGCTGAGGAAAGTGGAAGAAAACCAGGGAAACAGTCAGCTCTGCACACTGCCTCCTGAAAGCCCAACGACATGCTCTTCTAGTGCACATTTAAACATTAAAGAGCCACCTGCTCAGTGTACGTGACCACTAAAACCACACACCTAGCTAACACAGCAGCTATGACTGCTCCTAGGCTGAGGTTGCATCATTTTTATTGCATCAACATTTAAAAATATGATAGGCACTCATCCCCTCACCGCATTTGAGGTGAGCTTCGAAAGGACAGAGAGAGCCCAGCTGGACACAGATACTACAAATTCTTTCCCCTGGACAGTGATAAGGATACCACCACCAACAGAGCTTCACGGCATGGAAGCCTGTCTCCTTCCTGAATATTTGTCCTCATTCAGTCAAAGCAGAGAAAGGCATGGGTGCTGCAGAAAACTAGGGGTCAGCTGGAAACAGATACAGAGACCACAGGGCACCCACCCTAGACAGAGAAATTGTCTCAACATTCAAATATTCGAGCAAATTAAACACCGGAGCTACAGCAGAAAATCAGCTATCAAAAACTATTCACCCCAGTGTCTTGCAAACTTCCAAGAGGTGTGTTTAAACCTATTTGACGCTCTATCTGGATCACTGCAAAGTAATGCCAAACAGTTAACACTGCTCTCAACTTTCTATTATTCTTGGTGTAGAGGCAGGCAACATGTGTTATTTTCGGTCTAAAAGCATATACTCTTCTGCCCTGCAGTACTGAAGAAAAAATATATGAATGGGAATATAAATATCACCAATATCAAGCAGTGGAAATCTCTAAATAATGGAAAAATAAGCTAGATTATAAACTATAAATAAGAGAATGTGCCTAAGTGTTAAATGAGTATGTTAAAAGGGTATATATAGTAAAGGCTATGAAACTTCTGACTTTAATTAACTAAAATATGCTGTATTTATTAGTTTCAACTTTTTATTAATTTTCAAACACTGAGACATTGAAAGATTAGTACAATGAACACCTATATACCCTCCACTTAGATATGATAACTGTTAATATCTCCAGTTTTTGTTTTATCTATGCATTTGCACAAATAAATATATAATAAATATATTCATAGATAGGTAACTTTTGAAACACATTTATAGATATGATGACACTTCCCTTCTAAATATTTCAGACTTGATCAAAACAGTGTCATGTCATGGATATTCAACTGCCTGAAGACTGGATCGTTACCGCTCTCACATAATTGTCAAGATTTTCAGTGACTTCCAACCCCAGACACCCTTCTCAGGTTCATCTCCCCATGTCTCCTTAGCACACTCTATTCCCCAGTCACAGAAAACCACACGCACACTAAAATGGATTCCCCATCTGGGCACCTCACTGTTCTCGCTGCCATCAAGTCCTATTCCTTCTAATTTCTCTATGAATGAACATTCCTTTCTTCAAGACCCATGGCACATGAAATCTCATGCAAGAAGACTTCCTGGGTTCTTCCACAAGCCCTTCCAGAATACAGAGTAACCCCTCCTTGCTTTGCCATTCTCGACTGTGGTGTCGTTTGCAAACATTCCTTACTGCAATCTAGAATAAAGGCATTTTCTTATTCATCTGTATATCACTCACAGCAATTTCTGTAGTCTGCAGAAGATCCTCCATAAGTAACTGTTAGGTACCTAAGGCTTTTAAAAGTTCCAATTTTACTATTAATAAAAAGTTAAATTATTGAAAAGAGTGTTTTACCCTATTATAATTCTTTTGATGTGATAATCCAACTCACCTAGTTCTTAAAAAACAAACATCACCTAGTTTACTGAAGTACACATTGTATGAATAAAGCAATCTTTGAAAACTGTACAATGTAAACTTACCTTCTCATTATTGTAATAAGAAATGCTATGGCCATCAAATTTCACCCATCTCTTCTGAAACATGCGTTTTCTGTAAAACATATGAAATTGTCATTTTACATTTAAGCACCATGAACTTGAATTTTAAATACATTTGCAATGTAACTGTGTTGAGTACATGCCCATTTGCTGTTGAACAATGCAGAGAACAACAGACTATGACAACGCACAGTTTTGGCAACAGTACACAAAGGGAAAAAGATATGCATGATGACACTTTCTAATCAGCTGGCATAGATATCTAAAACAAGACACTGTTAATAGTGTTGTCATCCATATTTGTAAGGCTGAGTGCAAAACAAAGTGTTGTCAAACACACTATTGTACCCATTTCCCTTAATGGAGATCATTCTTTCGTGAAGCCAAAGTATGTTTATAACACTTATTTTACCTTTATTTTTGCTTTGGAGAATGAAAAACATTTTGCTAAAGTAACAACACTTTGTCAACTTAGTCTACATAGATAAATTATTTCATTGTAATCAAATAGGCTCAAAAAGCCCTGTCTAAATAATCATCTACAATCACCCCAAATTCATTGAACCATTAGTATTTTTTTAAAAAATCACATGAAAGGCAAATGCCATTTAAAATGGTTGCTAACACGAGGAACAAAGTAGAATACTGTAATCGCATGTTTCCAATTTAGGCTTAAAAGAAAAAAAAATTTGTTCTGGCTATCTAAGGGAGGAATAAAAAGAAAACATTTCTACATGGGCTTTTTGTTCTGCTTTATTTTAGTTCTCTTTCGTAAACACTGACAATCCTAAAGATTTGGAATATCCCATCTCTACTTGTCTCTCAGTGTGGACTGATACAATCTAGATGCTTTTAGCCTTTAACGTTTTTTTAAAGTCACTTCTAAACAAATAGGTAAAAACAGCTATCTATCTTTTCCTTCTGAAGTGTTCTGACATGTTTAAGGTAAGGAATTGGCATAAGCTTCGGCAGTGTTCAGAAGATTTACTGATAGAAAACAACGTCAGAATGTGTGGAGAATTTTTCTTCTGGGCTTTTTTCTGAGCACTACTCATCTATTTCTCAGCAAGCCTCCCACATTGATACTTGGCCAATTTATTCTGCTTAAGATAAAATTATAGAGAAGATCAAATCAGATGGAGAAAAGTTTCAAAGTTCATCAGTGCAGACATTTTCATATATAAGCACTGAATTATGAAGTAATAAGAAGATGCAAAGACCTTAAAATCACATAACCAAAACTAACTGCCCAGCCCTCTTCCCATCTTATTCCCTCATCTTTCTGCTTCTTTTTAACTCCTCTTGCTCTGCTATGGGTTTTCTTAACACTGCAACATCCAAGTGTTACAGAGATCTGATTTTTACTTCCTTCCACTAATCCAAGGATCCTTCAAGTGCCCAGCATTAAAATTAAAAAGTAAAGAAATAATAAGCAAACACACAATAATAACACATTCAACAAAACCACTTTGCATTCATTTCATGTTGATCTCTGTCACCTAAAGGCAAGGAAATACATCTTCCCACACAATGTCAACAGTAATTCTGTAAACCAAGATTTGTTTTGAGCCCCATCTGCCTTACAGTGTGAATAGTGGTAAAATAAAGCTCACTTATAACCTTCCATTTTATTATAAAAACAATCAACATCTATGGGAGATCAAGGCCTTAGAAACTTCCATTATATCTCTCTTCCCTTTGCTAACTACTCCTTATCTTTCAGAGTTTCTCTCCCACCTACACAGGCATTCCTCCCCATAAGTCAGTTCAAAGCAGATCACAAAATTAATTTCTCCCTCAAAACACCCTCTCCTTTTCCTCATAGCTCTTAAAGATATTTGTCTACGTGTTTAATGTTTGTCTCCCACACCAGTCCTTACGCTTTACAAGGGCAAAGTTTGAGGACGTTTCATTCTCTACTGTATGACGAGCAACTAACACAGACACAAATAGGGTTCTAAAAAAAAGAATCTGTCGAGTGAACGAGTGACAGGACTATATGGTGGGCTCCTCATCCTTGAGATCTCAGCTTAAAAGTCATTCCCTAAAAGCAGATCGCGCAGATCCTTCAGGCCCCCTTGGTGCATTGCTCCATTTTCTTTAATCAGACTTTTCCAGGTCTGTAATCATATACTCGTTTTCGCTTCATCCATCTCCCATGATAGATATTTAGGTACTTGAATATAGAAATGACCTTTGTTTTTTCAGTGTAAAGCCAGGAACTGCCACAGTTTCTAGTAGATAAAATGTGCTTAACAAATATTCAATGAATATATGTTCACTAAAAAAAAAAATCCAATTTCCATTTTATATACAGAAAAAAATAAACACTACCAAAACACTTCAATTTTTTTTTTTTTTTGCTTTTTCAAATACTAAAGATCAGATTTTTATATGGTCATATAAAAGCTTTATAAAACTACTTTATTATTAAAGAAAAATCAGTACTACAAAAAACGTGAAAAAAATGATCATTAACTTCCATGGAATTTTAAAATACATTTTAAACATTTTTACCATGTATTTATTTGGTACTTTCCTATTTAAAATGCAAGTTAAACAATTTGAGATGTTTCTAAAACAAAATTTATATAAGCAACCTATCTGGCTCATTAAAAGTGTCAACATTCAATTACCATAGTTATTTTCTGCATGTGAACTTCAATACCAAATTCTAATAACTGATTAATTAAAGAACTCACACTGAGCTCCTTTTCACAATATTATTCTCCTTTCTACCTAATAAAAACTCTGACTTAATATTGGTAAACCTACACATTAATCAAAATTTCAACTAAATTTTAAAAGAGATAGCATGAGAACGATGTTTTTATAAATGTCAATGTACAATTTTAAAATCAATAAATACTGGTGAGTACTAAATTTTTTAAGAACTTTTTGAGCCAGGGTTAAGTAGCTCTCTCATGCATTTATAAAAGTATATTAGATAGTAAGGAACTAATTCCACTGGAATTATGTAAAATTAATGTACTATACACAATTAGAGGTTGCTCAAGTACTTTAAATATTTTCTCTAATGTAAGTTATGCTTTTCCCTTAAATGCCTTTTAACAGTTGATTTTGTTTAGTAAACATTATTAAAAAAAGACAAGGTATGAAATGCAGTATCGCCTACTATCACACAACACAAATTGGATCTGAAATGATGATGAATTATTACACAGAGATATTAAAGCCCTAGTCAATTAACAATTTATTAGACACAATAATTTTGGTGATGAGAGCAGAAAACACTTCTACAGTGCTTTGTTCTAGACACTGTTGCAAGCCCTAGACAAACATTCATTCATTTAATCCTCCAAACAACCAGATAAGGAATACTACTGGTTCGATTTTACAGATGAAGGAACAGAGGCACTGGCAGGTTTAATAATCTGCCCACGACATGCACATAGTAGAGAGCATTTCTGGGAGTCGAATCCAGGCAGTCTGTGCTCCTCGCTGCTCCTCGAACCTGACTCCAGTGCATTTACAGCTAAACATTCTGGACCTCCCTTTACGAAGCAATACCATTTGACCTGTACCCATTTTATATGTGAGTTCAATTTTACAAAGTCCTTCTGAATTCCTTCAGGAAAAACGGTAAAGCGGGCAAGAAACACATTAGCCTAGGTTTTATCCTATTTTGTTTTTAGGGTTCTGAAGGGAAACATTTCTTTAAGAAGCTTTTTTAGAATAGTTTATAAGGCTTGTGCAGTGTTACTGAGTGGATTTTTGCAAACTCTTCCCTTGAGCTCTGGCAGGGCAGGTGGTGTAAAGTTTCAACTGCTTTCATAAATTCAGCCTCACCACCTGGTGTCAGATTTTGTTGTCTCAAAATTGTGTATCTTAAAAATTCTTTTTTAACAACAGTGCACATACAAACAATTAAATCTCTATAAAGTGCTCACACAAAGGCACTTCCATTTAATGTCGTTCCTACCTGTCAGCAGAATTTTTTTTAAAGATTACATCTTATAGCTTAAAAAAAAATCCCAAAATTAAACAAGCATGCTAACCAATGATATTAATTTAAGGTAGCAGATGCTACCAAATTGTCTTCTCTAAATATCATCCAGTTGGAATGAACCTCAAAGGCATTAAGTCAAATTTATCGTTTTTATTAACGATGGCACTTAGATCATCACAAACATATTTCTCAATCATTCTAAAAAATATCTAAGAATAAAGATACCAATATGCTTTACCAGATTCATCTGCCTTGTTTACATAATCCTACAGAATTACATGCACATTGTGTCTTATTCTCTGCTCTAACCCTAACTACACGCAATATGTTTTAAAACTAGTATAATTTCCAAAAGAACAGATTTTTATTTATCTAATCGCTCTTTTTTTTATTTACCTAATTATTATTTTACCTAATTACTTTTTTAAGTTTGAGGCTTTTAAATGATGTATTATTAGTTATAAAGTATTTTACAAATATGGATCCATGGAATTACTATATTTCTATAAAATGCAAGCAACTTTTCTATTCTGAAATGCATTTCCTCACTTTTAAGCAAACCAAAATGAGAGTTTCTAAGATTACATAAACGAAAACTGAGCTGGGGCCAGTAAAACAAAAAACAACGAGTCCCTGAAATCCCAGCTTCCTTTTCTGCTATACCTAACCCGTTAATTTTTTTTAAAGTTATTTAATGTAAAAGTCCATGCTTTATTATTGACTTTAGAAAGTCAAAGCATGAATATTTATATGTGACTACCAATTTCTACAATATTTACACGGAGCTTAGTGCTTACATGACCTGATATATGAAATATATTATAGAATAATGAATACATTAAAATAGTCATACCTCTTTATTTTATGGAATCATATTCTATTTTTTAAAAAAGTCCAACATTAAACAGTTTCTAGATAAGATGATCAATTAAAACTTACGTTTACCTCTATTCCTCCCACAGCTTAAAAGGATTTAAAAAAACAAATAAAAATAAACACCTACAAACCAACACTGATCCAAGAAGATGACAGTAGCAATGTTTAGAAGTTGGGAAAGCAGAAAGAAGGCTAGGAACTGCCTT